AATAAATTTTTTGAGGTGGCCTTTAATTTGATTGTTTTGAGCCTTGGCTCTATATAAATTTTTTCCTTTATATAATAATATCTAGTATACATAACCTTGTCTATATACATAGTTGATCCTTATGTACAACAATAACTTAAGAGTATATATGACAAATCGTATACATGAGAAATCCTCATATATAAAGGGGAAAGGATCCGATCAACCCACGGGTTGACAACTACAGTGTTGGCCAACGGCCCAGATTCAATCTAGGCTCAATCCAATAGTCACAACCTCATTTTGTATTTTAATTTTTATTTATTTTTACACAAATCTAAATCTCTTAAAATTTTGAGAGTTTATTCATCAAAACTAGGAGAATCTAATAAAAATATAAAAAAAATACTTCGTAATATAAATTGACCAAAATACCCCTGAAATATTTCGAGAGTATTTTTGTCAATTTTATGTTTTACGAATTATTATTTTTATATATTTTTATTAGGTGCGCCTTGATGAGAAGAATAAATGTATAAAATTTCAAATAATTTGGATCTGTCGAAAAACAATGAAATTACCCTCGAAATATTTCGGGGGTATTTTTGTCAATTTTACTTTTTACCGATTATATTTTTATATATTTTTATTAGGTAATCCTTGATGCGAAGAATAAACGTATCAACTTTCGATATATTTTTATTTGGTGCGCCTTGATGAGAATAATGAACATATAAATTTAAAGTGATTTGGATTTGTAGAAAACAAAGAAAATTCAAATACAAAATGATGTTGTCACCATCAGATCAGCTTAGACTGCTACTGTAGCTACTAAACCCATGGGCTCGCAAGATCCATTCCCATATATAAAAGCTTATATACCTTATATTTTATTAGTGATGTTCCAAGAATTAAGAATCCAATAGCAAGCCAAAACAATGGATTGAAGTACCCAAGAAAAAGTATTCTTTATTTGAAGCATTACGGATTAGAAATTGTTCAAGAAGCTAGGATAGAGGGGGTATTGATGTTGTGGCCTTGTGGCCTTTAAAGGCCTTGGCAACTTTTTATGCTTAAACATTTTATTAATTATATATTTTGGCTCTAATGGGAGCATGGTGCTCCGGCATGTGGCATAGCTGGTCCAAGACTAGGGGCTGATTGTTTCATTTCATCATGTTTATTGGGAAGCAAATAGTGTGTAGATGGTCTTGCGAAATATGGAGTAAGTGATATTTTTCGCTTTAGTGGGAGCATGGTCCTCAAGGGACAGGGATGTGGCATAGGGTAGCAAATAGTGTGGTAGATGGTCTTGCGAAATATGCAGCGAGTTATTGCTGCAAATGAACTTATTCTGTTGTAAGTTCTTTTTTATTAATAAAATAAAATAATATTGTAAAAAAAATTAGGTTTGGAATGGAGTGCCTTGTAACGCTCATATGAAACATCAAGTTGGGTGGTCTAGATAAGTCATAGAGAGTCATAAAACCTTATGACCATAGACATAAAGGCATTAAACCTATAGTATGAAGCGAAGAGCATCTGAAGGTCCTCTCATGTCAAAATCGAAGGGATGCCCCATGTTCTTTTATAGCGAGGAGGAAGATGTACTCTGGAATGGTGACTTCATAGGGCAAGAGCCAAATCCTTGACTATGAGATGTACATTTGATAGTTGCATTTACAGGAAGTCGCCTCTTTGAGAGGATGCGCATGTGCCAAAGAGATGACCCCTACATCTGATAGTTGCATCTACGGGAAGTCGCCTCTTTGAGAGGATGCGCATGTGCCAAAGAGATGACCCCTACATCTTTAAGATTTGGATCATGTATCCACTAGGATATAAACTTTTCCTTGGGGATCATCTATGATCCACATATTATTTCTATAGTCCATTTGCCTATTTGCTGGCTTTGATGGACCAAATATAAGCATCTAATAAGAAGATTGTAGGTCACAGGTGTTATTGGGCTGGTTTAAGATTGGAATTTGAGGATTGAAGGAATAATCGAGGAGTGCTTTAATTGAGTTGTAGTTCTTAACCCAAGGCACCTACTCTATTTTAATACTTCATTAAAAGCTTAGTTACTATAAAATGATTAAATCTAATTTTGAGAAAATTTATGTAATTTAGAAAATTATAAACTTTTCGTGCTTCTAACCTTTAAAAATGGCACGTTAGATAGGACATGGATGATATAATTTTAACATACTATAAGCTTTGTTTGAATTTTTTAAGTGGGAAAATATTGAGATGCAGAATAAAGAGTAACGTAATTGATATAAAGAAAAACAATGAGAAGGATATTGAGATGGAGCAAGGATACAATGTAGCACTTTGATACCCCATCCTTGATGTTGTGAAAGAATACGTATGTCTAGCAGAAGAGCAGCTTTTTTATTGTTGCATAAATTTTAATCGGACCTTTTTTCAACTAATTGGGGTCGGTTTTATAAATTTTGTTATGTCATTCTGTTCTATCAAGAACCATACCCTCAGTGAAGTCATAAGTCCCTATAGCTTTTTTCGTTACTTTCAACAATGTTTTTTTGGGCCTGATATACACATTGTAATGGATGAAATATAAAGCGATGGTAAACGTGCTATAATTTCTATGGTCATCAAGCTCAACACCATTCACTCAATGATCTACAGCGATGGGGAGACCCTGGGAAACTAACATATGGAGTTCATCATGTGGTCCACTTCCACTCTATTACCATCCAACCGTTGCTTTTTTTTTCACACAGTCGGCCAGATAGCAAAAAAATGGTGATAAAGCGCTTTCCCAATCGGTGTACTTTCTCGATTGCTATAATAACTCGTTTTTCCATTAAATAGGCATGATAAAAGCTGAACAAATGTGCCCTAAATTCATGTGTTTTCCTTTTCAGATAAATTTATTAGAATAACAATTAGAAAAGTTTAAACAAGGTTGCAACCTTATATTGTAAAAAAAAGGCACCCCTCAAAAATCCATCTAAAAATGTTGTTCCAATGGTAAACAACCTCTAATAATCATCTCGTCTCGAGAAATACAAATGTGAAAAAATTAAATAAAATTTAAAATCCCATGATACATCTTGTAATAAATTATCTAGACCATCCAATCTCAAGATTTCCATATGTTTGCATATTGCTTGATCAATATCATTTTGTATGTTTTAAATTTCATAATTAGATGTGAAATAGATTTTTAGGTCATCGCCAAAATTTCTTATACCAAAATTACATCTTTCAAATCTGTAGGTGCGCCTTACTTGAATTGTTTAAAGTTGACCCGTTATACAAACCACACTATTAACAATTTACCGATTCACAACTACTCCAACCAATAATAATAATATGTCTTTTGATGAGTATTTTAAAATTAAATAAAAAAATATAATAGAATGTTAAATAGTTCATCTTCACAAATTTTCCCTATTTATTTTCTATGTTTTCTATAAGTTTCGGTGCATGATTAAACTGGTCGAGCATATAAAACACAGTGTTCGCAAATTCGGCGGTAGTTTCTATTCGACCAAGTTACTCGGGTTTGAGCCCTTGCCAAGTCTGAGTTGTCCGAGTCGGATGTCCAACTCGAGGTATTAGAAAAAATTCAAAAAATGTAATAAAAATTAGAAAAAAATAAGAAATTTATTCAGGAATTTTTTTTATGTTTTCTATCATTTTGACAAAGATTTGAAAGTGATTTACGCAGAAATATTTATTTTTACATTTTCCTATCTTTTTAGATTATTTTGAAAATACCCCCAATCACAAGTTAATTTTTTAAAATCTATTTTATACTACTTTTTTAACATCATTTTGAAGTGTTTTGCTTAAGGGTGTGGTTTGCATAAGGTTGCAACCTTAAACAATCAAATTAAAGTTCATAAGATGTAATTTTGGTGCCAAAAATTCTTAGCATAACTTCGAAATCAAGTTTTTGTCTCTAATTATAAAAGTTTAAACTCCTAAAATGGTTCAAATCAAGTAGATCTATAAACACATGAAAATCTTGAAAATGGACCGTCCAGATAATTTATTGCAACTTGCATTGTTTTTTAGACTCGAAATCTTATTTTCTTCCATATCTATCTATTTTGATCTTAAGATGATCAATTAGACAACTTTCCAACATCAAAGCAACCTTTTTCTGATGGATTTTTTAAGTGAATCTTAATTCTACATTTTAATGTTGCATTCGTATATAAACTTTTTTCTTTACCTAATCTTATAATAAACGTACATTTCCTAGCTTTTTGAATTCATTTAATTTTTAACAGCTTTTCACTATACTAGGCACTAATCGGGCCAAGCTACTCAGACTTGGCGTTAGTAATCAGCTCGGGCCAAGACCCATTACTCTGTCCGAGTCGCACTTTCTAACTCTGGAGAAAGCTATGGGTTGAAGTCCCAATATTAGTATCATTTTTTAATGGGTGCAGTTGGCATACGAATGCATCCGTAGTTGTAGGGGTAAGGTGCACCTTCAAATTTTATCGTGGTATATAATTTTGAGGTAAAATGTTTTTAGGATTATCTCAAAATCTATTTTTATATCTAATTATAAAATTTAAAATTTTAAAAATTGCTAAAATCAAGTAGATCTATAAACATATAAAAATCTTGAAAATGGACGGTGTAGATAATATGTTGTAAAATTCACTATTTCTTAGACTTAAAATCTGTTTATTTTTCATGGTCATGCATATCAACGTCGAGATGATCAATTAAAGGTTTTTCAACATTAAAACTACCTTTTTCGATGGATTTTTTAGGTGCATATGTAGTTATACATTGCATCCTTCGATAAACTCTTTTCTTTTTTAATTTGTGCATGGAAACAGAGGGTTTTTGGAGTACCTTCTAATGAACTTCTATTCCCACCGCAACAACCATTTACATGTGTGACCCACAACCCCTATCATCAAAACCTTGCTTCCCTTCCCTCATAAACGCTTTGACCACACACCAATTAACCCCACCCAATAAAAAGTACAAAAAACGAAAAATATTAAAACTAATAATAATAATAATAAAGAACCCAATTTTATTTTATTAATATTAAATCAGTGTATGCTTTCAACATTGTTATTATCCATGCCCAAGCAATTACAATTACATATCCTCTCCAAACCCAAACCAATGAAGAGTATAGTGCATTTCTCTCTATAAACCCCCAATCTCTTTTAGAGACATGCTGGTGGGATAATTTTCCCATTGGTAATCCCATGCACATTCCTACAGTAACTTGTTGCTGGTTCACTGGACTCCATTAACAGATTGATATCTTGTACCAAAATTCTCTCACATGGATAGCTTCTGCTACAATTGAATTTCATGGCCAGTTTTGTAGCACTGGTCCCCTTCACATTTCGATAAATTACATTGCTAATTTGAACTGCGGATGCCTGCGAAAAATGTGCAAATTTTAAAATCTGATTATCAATAGAGAGAGATGTTGAATTGAGAAATTCAGGAACTTATTTTTTGTTGCTTTTTTGGGTTTTTTACCTGTTCAGGGCACGGTTTTTTGGAATCACAGTAATTTTGATCTATGATTATTGGGTTTGATACATTGTGCATTGCTACATTCTGAAAAATGATGTTCTTGGCATTACCAGAGCCTCCCTGAAAGATGAAGTTAGTGATAGAAAATTGGAGATTTGGGGTTTTAAATTTTCTAATTTTTAGATAGGAAAATCAAAAAATGTAGCCGTTACCTGCCAAGTTTTGATCCTGAGACCATTGGTGGTTCCATGGAGATTGGCTCGATCTACTGTTATGGCTGATACATGGGCTTCTGAATTCCCAGCTCCTAAGCTCCCAATGCTGTGAAATGAGAGAGAGAGAATCATGGATTAATCATTCTTAATTTCCTATTATGAATGCGCAATGAATTTGAAACAATTTTTGTCATGTTAAGCCGAACCCAATTAGTTAGGAAAAAGCTTTGACGGAGCAATGAATTTGAAACAATTTCCGATTACAATAAGCCCAAGCAGCTAAATCCTATGGGATGAAAAAGGCTTTCACGAAGACGATGATGATTCAGTCTGACATGTTACCTGATTCCATGTCCTGGTCCGCAGTTTATGTCAACAGCTTTGATATTCTGAGACCCACTCACAATTGATATGCAGTCATCCCCTTCAAATACCAATTAATTTACTTGTTAGAAAAGAGACAATTTAGAGAGAGTTAGAGAGAGAGAGAGGTTGGAGCTTAAGTCTTTTAACAAGAATGGGTACCTGTGCCAATGGTGGAGTTTTGAATCACTACATTTTTAGAGCCTGTAACATGGATTCCATCTGTGTTTGGGCTGTGCTCTGGTGCTTGGACCATGAGATTGGAAGCCATTACATTCACACATTTTTGGAATGTAAGGTGCATTTGCTGGCTATCTTTGATCCTCAGCTCTTGCACTATCAGGTTCTCGCAAGATTCAAAGGTTAGGGCCTGCAAAAACCAAAAAAACAATCAACTTTCAACAAGATTAATCTTTGTAGAGAGAGAGAGAGAGATGTACCGTTGGTCCCGAAATGCACGGCTGATAAATCAGAGAGACAAGAGAATAAACGCAGAATCAGTATACAATCGAATTCGAAATATAAACTTTTTACAGTTTGTTTCAAATTAACAGTAAGCTAAAAGTCAGTAGTTTTTAGTTTTTAGTTTATAGGTGTGATGGGTTACCTTTGATTTATCGATTTTGCAAGAATTTTCCCACCAAATTTCTCCATTTCCGTTGATGGTTCCTCCACCTTCCACACTGAGATTATTGACATGGCTAAAGAGAAGCCAATGCCTCGAGCCATTTTTTATCCATAAGTCCCGGTCAGATGGAGCTTCTATGGTCCCTGATATCTGATTTGTACATAAAATACATATAAATTATCGAATAATCTGTATGTGTGTGTTAGAGGGAGAGAGAGAGATGGCTCACTTTTACAGTCATGGCAGATTTGCAAGGGCCTGAAAAACTTATCGGCTTTACAAGGTATGTATTTCCTTGTGGTACCTCCAAAATTCCAGGTGCAGATGAACAAGCTTCCTTCCATGCCTCTGCAAATGCCTTAGAGATAAAGAAAGAAATTGAATTAATTTGCAAACTATCTCTTAAACACTTCAACATGAAATTAATGACTTGTGAGTGCTCATTCCTTCAATGCCACTAAACTCATACAGATGGTGAGAGTGAGAGAGAGAGAGAGAGTGGAACAATTTGGAGAGAGAAGTGATGCTCATATACATTATGGTTTATATCCATTACTCACCTGCGTATCGTCTGTGCCGTCGCCTTTAGCTCCGAAATCATCGACGCTAACCACTTTAAGAGAAGCCTCAGGACTACCTACACGATCATACCTCTCTGTGGTGAAAAACTCTGGTTCATAACCAAAGTTCTCTGAATCAAACTTAGACTCACTTTCTCTCTCTAGAATTGCTCCATAGTAGACAGGATAAGCACTTGTGTCATAGCCAGGGTCTTCCTCTAAACAATCAGGAAGTGGGTCCTCGTGGAAAACACAGTAAGAACTGCTACAGTAATAAAACAACACAAAGAAAGTGAAAGTTAGTTGTTTTATGATGTTCTCAAAGGCACCCATAGATCTCCCCTGTTATGTTTTCTCTCTCCTCTATTTCCTGTCCCCTGTTCTCTCTAGTCCTCAATAGATAAAACCCAATTGGATGGTGACTGAAACAGTTGAGATCATGGTACTTATATAGAAAGTTGTTGCTTAAGAATAGAAGGACATTGGAATAAAGCCATGCGTTCCAGAGAGAGAAAGAGCCCTTGGGTTCTACTCAATCTTTAGAGAAAACAGAGTCTTTCACCTCCATGATTTGCAGGTATGGATTGAGATGCAAGAGATTGAGACGAAAGAGTCTCTTGGGCGGCTGAAAAACCTTTTTCTCCATCTCTGTCTTCTTGCTAAATCAAATCTCTCTTGTAGTTTTAGGTTTCTTCAATAATAAAATATAATTATCTTACTATATTATTTATCTTATATTACTGAATGCATGATATATCTTCACAATAGCATGGGCACACCATACATTGCTTGTAGTCCTAGGGGACTAAAATGACCGAAAATCTCTTGTTCTTTTTAATATGATGATATTTTTTTATTTTTTTTTGGGTAATTTAGTGGAGAAGACGAGCGCTGCCTGCTGCCCATTTTTTTCAAATAGATTAGGAGTTACCCTTTTATGAAGGTATTAGTGGAAATAGAAACCACTACATGGTCACTAAGGTATAGGGTACTACCACCTTGCCCCAGCCCCTTTACCACCTATTATAAATTTTCTTTGGCATCAACATCTTAATTTTAACCCTTAAATGGCAGAGTGAGAGTACCAAGAAACCAAGTGTTTTTCTTTTTCATAAGCTTTTGGAAACATTTTTTGTATTATCAGAAAAATAAGTTGCTTTTTAAAAAGTTTATATTAGGTTGCAATCTTATCATTGCATTTCAAAACTCCAATAAAAAAGAGTGTTATGAAGTTAGAAAATCTACCTATTGATCATCTCGACCTCGAGATATATAGATTTAAAGATAAAAATAACTTGAAGTCCTAAAAATAATACATCTTGTAATGTAACCAGTTACCTAAACTATTTGTTTTCAAGATTTTGAAGTGTTTATAGATCCAGCTCTGCACCATTTTTTAAACTATTAAATTTTATAATCAAGGTTAAATATAGATTTTGAAGATATCATAAGGTTTCAAATGCCTAAACTACATCTTCTCGCAAAATTTAAAGGTGTGCCCTTATTTGTGCAGTAAAAAATGGGCACCATATACAAACCTCACCCTCCCAAATTCACATGAACATGTGGAACACTATGTCGAGAGAGAGAGAGAGAGTAAATTTCTTGGGATAAGAGAGAGAATAGTGTGTGTGAGAGAGTGAGAGAAGTTGGTTATGATATTTTCCATAGAAGAAAAATGTTAGGTATAGAGGTTGTTTGCACGTGTTCTCATTTAAGAGAGAGAGGGAGAGGGAGAGAGAGGGGTTGTGAAGCTTTGTCTGTGTTCATGTTTACGTGTGTTAAAACATATGTAGGGGTGTGTGTGCATGTGTTGAGAGAATGTATTGGAGGATAGTGGGGTAAGAAGGAAAGCGCATTTGCGTGGTTTGGAGGGGTGGTGTTTGATCATGTCATGAGACTTGTCGTGGAAGTGTAAGAGTTTGTAGAGAGAGAAAGTCGGTTGTGACTTGGTTTGGGGGTAGGGCAAATTTAGGGCTTATCTTGGTGACATAACTTTTGTAGACTTTTAGGGTCATTTTAGGTCTTTTCTGGTTTAGGGGCGTTATTTGGGGACATGGGTATAGGCCTAAAAATATTTGACCTTTGCTATTTGCTTTCTTAGAGTCGATAATCTCTTAGAGAGAGAACAAGGACTTTAGAGAGACCCTTCAAAGGGGATAAAAGTGTCCCATTAGTTGCTAGTTGGCTCCACCTACTAATGACACGTGTTGGGGCTGCCGGCTGGCCGGCTGCAAGAGTGTCACGGCATGACACAACCCGATGCCGATGACACACTTTTGATGCCCATTATGGTAAAATGACACTTGTGTCAAGATTTATTTTGTTGCAGTGTTGCATAATTTATTTTAGTTCATGTGGGTTTGGGATGAGTTTGTATAAGTGATTTAAAAAACGGATCGGTGCCTCGGGTCGGCACTTCAAAAATCCATTCGGATCGAGGCGATTCGGATCGAGAATCAGCCAAGTTCTAGAAAAATGTAAAAAAATTATTAAAATTAATTATAAATGTTGTCTTTTAAGAATCCAATAAGGAATTAGGATACTCCATTGTTAACTTTTACTTTTTCCATCAATTTGTGAGTATTGATTTTTTTTTTCTGTATAAACTTATGTTAACCATTAAATTTACATCACATATAAAAAAAATCATATAATTATCGTGGATAAAATATATAATCATACATGGATTACTATAAAGAGTAGATTTAATAGATAAAAAATGGCCATCAAAATCTCAAATTGGCGGAAAGTACTAATCCCCTAAAAATATCCAAATTATTACAAACTAATTAACTATAATCCAAATTTATTACAACCTAACTAACTATAATGTTATATGCTGAAACTCCAATTGTTGGTTTAAATTTTATAATTATTTTATTATACAAATAATAACAAATCTAAAATATTTTGTAATACGATCTAATTTAAAATGTATTATTGAGAACTGTAAGAAAGATAATAAATTAAATGATTTATAATGTAAAAATTAATAAATAAAATAAAATTTTGGTTAGAAATTATTAGAATGCATACCAATTTTCGAAAGAACACTTTAATTTTTCAAAATTTAAATTTTTTAGATTTCTAGAATAAATTTAGTAAAAAAGATTATTAATAGAAAGAGAGAGATTTCAAATGGAATAAATTTCTTTTAAAAAAAAAAAATAGATTTATAGAATACATTTAGTAAAAAAGATTGTTAATAGAAAGAGAGAGATTTCAAAAAAAAATTTAAAAATTAAAAAAAAAAAAATTTGCTTATTTTTATTATCAACAAAAATAAAATAAAATGTGTCCAAGGTAAAATCGAACTTAAGACTTGACTGCTCTATCGTGGAAGTGATAACCACTCCGCCACATCAGCACAAGTATAATTATTTTCTACATTAATAGTACTTATCCAAAATCCGTCGTAATTTAATGCACCATGGGAATTATCCCACATCCAACAGCGAGCTTTAGTTTCGCTTCTATAAATTACTTTGTTAGTTCCTAAAGGTTTGCGTGTGTGCCCGAGGTTGCCATCCACGGGCGGTCGGTGCGTAACTGTAGTCTTCCACTTGTAAACAAATAGAAAATCAGTATTTTGCCACGTGTTAGCTAGCTTTTTTCCCGGTTTTACACTGGAATCGGCTCGCTTTTTTCCCGATTTTACACTAGAATCGGCACGGGGTAACGAAGAGTAGCAATTTTCTTGGTTTTACACTGGAAACGGCACAGGATACCGAAGTCGCAACTCGCATTTTCCCGTTTTTACACTGGAATCGGCACAGTCGCTTTTTTCCTGGTTTTACACTAGAATCGGCACGAGGGTTTTACACTGGAATTGGCACGGGGTAACAAAGAGTCGCAACTCGCTTTTTCCCTGTTTTACACTGGAATCGACACGGGGTAACGAAGAGTCGCAATTTTCCCTGTTTTACACTGGAATCGACACGGGGTAACGAAGAGTCACAATTTTCCCGATTTTACATTGGAATCGGCACGGGGTAAGAAAGAGTCGAACTCTCTTTTTCCCGATTTTACACTAGAATCGGTACGGTCACTTTTTTCCCAGTTTTACATTGGAATCGGCACAGGGGTTTTACACTGGAATCGGCACGGGGTAATGAAGAGTCGCAACTCGCTTTTTCCCAGTTTTACACTGGAATCGGCACAGTCGCTTTTTTCCCGGTTTTACACTGGAATAGGCTCGGGGTAATGAAGAGTCGCAACTCGCTTTTTCCCGGTTTTACATTGGAATCGGCACGGGATAACCGATTCCCTTGCCGACTAGGGCTAGTCGCAACTCGCTTTGTGACGTTATACGGGCGACTTTCACCTATGTATGACGTCATACAAGTGGTTCACTGTGCAGAACCAGCCCCGGTTTGTTCTAGAACAGGGCGGTTTCAGGTTTTACACTGGAATCGGCACGGGGTAACCGATTCCCGTACACACTCGGGCCGCCGATTTTTGAATCACTAGTTTGTATCATAGATCATATTTTCTTCTTGGACCCGGTTTTGGTATGGGCCTTGCGATTTGCATCGTTTAATGTAATTATACGGTATTAATTGTATCTAATAATTGGGAGAAAAAAGTTCTATATGTTATTTGTACCTTTCTACTATTAGACCGTGCAAATATAATATATATGATAACTAATGCACTAAATATTTTTTCTTTGTTTATTATATAAGGGAAAAAATTTATATGAGTTTAAAACCTAAGGTGCACTTTAAAAATCCAACTAGAAAGGAAAACTTTCCAATTGAGAATCTCAACCTTGATTTGTATGGATATTACGAAAAAGAATAATTATTTATCCAAAAGAAAAGAAGAATTTTGAGTCCTAAAAATAGTGCATCCTGTAACATATTATATGTATGTCTATTTTCAAGATTTTCAAGTGTTTATTGGTATAATAAATAGTCTCATTGTATAATTTCAAAAAAAAATATACTTATATTTTCTTTAAAATATTAGTCTCATATAATTCGAATAATAAAATAGTATTGGAGAGATTTTATTTTATAATACACAACCAATTGCACAAATACACAACTACAGTATTCAAGAGATTTTATTCGAGAGATTTTAATTTGAACAGATACACCACTACATGAGAAATTTTATTTTATAATAAATAGTCTCATTGTGTATTACATTGTACCTAATTGCATATCGAATAATAAAATAGTGACCTCTTTGTACTAAAAATAAATAGTTTTAGTGTATAATTTTTTTAAAATATTATTAAAAAGGTCAAATTATTTCTACTTATATTTGAGGGCACACTTTTTATTTTCTATTTCACTCAAATACCTCATAAAGTAATTTAAAAAAAAAAAACCCCAAATTACCCTTGTCCAATATCTAGATTGAGGAAAAATGCGGAGCATTTCAATAACTCAACCCCATGTTTACCCAAGTTATGGAAATAACCAAAGTTATTCCGCATTATAAATAAGGACCACATTGTTTTGTATTAGTAATACTAAACAAATAGGGGTATTTTTGTTATTTTATATATACATAGCATTTAAGTAGAAATTAATAAAAACACCTATAGTTGTTCCGCATTATAAATATTGCATACAGTGTGCTGTATTTGTAGTGCAGAATAACTAGATGTATTTTTATCATTTAGGTGAAGTCTCTTTGGGGTAAAATTACTAAAATACCCCTAATGCATCCTCGTTCCAAATGTTGAATAAAGGCAATATGGATAGTTTTTTTAAAAAAAAAAATCGAAAAGGCATCTGAAATGTAAAAGAAAAGATATGCCTTAAAATGCTAGTAGGGATAATTTGACCATTATTTGAAGGGATTTCATCCCGTTTACTTATATTAATTTTTTTAATATTATCCCCTTTTACTTATATTTTCCTATTAGCATATAAAAGATACAATAGTAGAACACAACCTGGCAGGTACCACATAGCCCAGAAAAACACAAGGGAAGAATTAAAAACACCCTGCCTAGCCACAATGTTGGCCGCCTGATTTGCTTTCGGTGAAGATGAATAAACAACATATCTCTCCCAATAAATAAGTCCATAATTTAAAAAAACACCTTCAAGGAGAGCATTTTTCACCCTTACACATTTAAAAATCACCTTCTACTATCGTAACCTCGTAACTATTATTTAGAATCCTCAAGCCATGAAGCACTCTGCTCCATTTGCTGTCATCTCTCCCACCACTCCCAAAATGGTAATAATAGTAATTCCATTAGAATTTTTGTCAAAAAAATAAAAAAAAAATCCATTAGAACATCTTACCCTTCCCCAAAGATTTCATACAGAACTACTATCAAAATTTAATTTAACAGAAGGCGGCGACCAAACCTAACTTCTCTGCTACCTTATAGGATTCAAATTTGCAACCTCCTTAATATTATACATAAGATCCACGTTGGAAAGCCTCTGGCAAGGATGCTACTCGCATGAAAACTCTACTCTTAAATCACGTTCATTTTAAGACAAGCCCCTCGAAATTTCTACTATTTTTTTCCTTCCAAATTTCTCGTAACAAAGTTGCACTCATTTGGGCATATACCCTCTTCTTTTTAGGACCTAGAGCCAAGGCTGGCCCGGGGCTACGCCTAGATTTAACTACTTTGGCTTGATCATGTTTTAAACCTATTCTAGCCATTCTTCACGAGTCACATGCAAGATAACCATATTATATCAGTCCAAAGGCTTGAAGATGAAGAGTCTTAATAATAAGCCTAACCTAATAAGTAAAGGGAAAGGTTTCTATGCTTCCCCTACAGCATAGAAGTTCTATTTTTCTTACCATCCGACCGTCTAATTTTGATCAAGAGAGTCACTCATCGTTTTATCTTAGATCCGACGTCTCAAAGTATTTTATTTTTAGGGTTTTTTATACAAATTGTATGAATATGAAATTTGGTACTTGTCATCTTCTCATTCGGACGCATCTAT